TAGTATCAATGCTTTCATAACAAAATATGAACTGATTCTCCACAATTTCTATTGACTCTCTGGACAAAAACTTCTTTGTGCATTACAGGACCAAAAGCATTACGTAGAGTAAATATTTGAGCTGAAGGTGTGCTACCGATAGGTTTGTACCCACTATCATTATTTTTTGTTGTTCATGTTGCCGGCTTGTATCCCACTTTGTTACACAGTAAAGTAAATGACTCAGAAAGCTGTTGAACAGGAATGAATCTCCCACATAACATAGAAATTGCAACAGATGATTGCAGTTTCAGACAATAATGATCTTACTATTTTTAATAGCTGGGAGAACGAGGGTTTCTTAGAATGCATAATATACTGTAATGACTCACAGGCTATTTTTGAATATGAGAACTGCAGAATCACATAACTATAAAGGTTTGAAGTTTTGACCTCCAGAGGGTCCCATCTACTTCAGCTCCCCCACTGAAGCAAGCTCTCCATGGTAGGTGATGGAAAAGGCAGGTTTTGGATATCTCCAGAGAAGGGGACTCCACAGCCTCTCTGGGCAGCCTGTTCCAGTGTTCTGTCACCTTCACAGTAATTTTCTTTCCTTCATGTTTGTATGAAACTTCTTATGCTCCTGTTTGTACCTATTGCCCCTTGTTCTGTTGGTAGGCAATGCTGAAAAGAGCTTGGACCATCCACTTAACTCCCACCCACTAGATATTTATAAGTATTTATAAGATCTTACCTTCTCCAGACTGAACAGTTCCAGTCTCTCAGCCTTTCCTAATATGGGAGAGGGCTCCAGGCCCCTCATCGCTTCTGCTGAACTCTTTAGATGTTCCCTGTCTTTCTTAAACTGCAAGCACAGAACTGGACACATTTACCCCAGATTTGACCACACCAGGGTAGAGCAGAGGAAAAGAATTGCCTCCCTTGACCTGTTGGCCATGATTTATTTAATGCACCTCAGGATACCACTGGCCTTCTTTGCCACAAGGGCACACTACTGGCTCACGGCCAACCTGTTCTCTGCCAGAACATCAAGTCCCTCTCTGCAGAGCTCCTCTCCAGCAGGTCATCCCCTACTGATCAGTGCAGTTATTCCTCCCCATGTGTAGGACTCTACATTTGCCCTCATTGAACCTCATAAGGTTCCTCTCTGTCCAACTCTCCAGCTTGTCCAGTTCTTGTTGAATGGGAGCACAGCCTTCTGGTATGTCAGTCACTCCTCTCAGCTTCATATCATCAGCAAACTTGCTGAGGGTACATTTTATCCCTTCATCTGGTCACAGATTAAGATTTTGAACAAGGCTGGACCCAGTACCAATCCCTGGAGAACACTGGTAGCTACAGGCCTCCAGCTAGACTCTGTGCCATTAATCACAGCCCTCTGAGGTCTGATAGTCAGCCAGTTCTCAGTCTACCTCTCTGCCCACTCGTCTATCCCACACTACTTAAGCTTATCTATGAAGATGTTCTCGGAGATGGTGTAAACACCTTGCTGAGGTCAAGGTACATAACATCCACTGCTCTCCCCTCATCCACCCAGACGGTCATGAGATCACAGAAGGTGACCAGGTTGGTCAAGCATGATTTCCCCTTGGAGAACCCATGTTGACTACTCTTCATAACCTTATTTTCTTTCACTTGCTTGAAGATAACATCCAAAATAAGCTGTTTCATTACCTTCCTGGGGATGGAGATGAAGTTGACTAGTGTGCAGTTTCCCAGCTTCTCCTTTTCACTCTTTGAAAACAGAAGCAACACTGGCTTTCCTCCAGTCCCCAGGCACCTCTCCTGATCTCTATGAACTTTTAAAGATCATAGGAGAGTGGCATGGCAATCACTTCTGCTAGCTCCCTCAGCACTGGTGAGTACATCCCACTGGGGTCCATGGATTTGTGTGCATCAAGTTTGCCAAGACAGCCTTTGACTAGATACTCTTTGATGAAGGGGAAATTTTCCTTTCCCCAGACACTCACTCTTGTCTCCAGGATCTGGGATTCACAAGGGTTAGTGTTAACATTAAAGAGTGAAGAGAAAAAGGCCTTCAGTAACTCCACCTTCCCAACGTCCTCTTCCACATTTTTCCTAAACACCATCTCAATTTACTCTAACACTATTTAGAAAGGTCTATATATATAAATTTAAAGCCTACTTATGCAGAGGATGAAATTCTACCCTATTTAGTAGGGTGAGATTCATCTCACTTAGCCTTAGCTAACTGAATGATTAGCATTAAGTTTTTCAGCTAAGTATTCCTATGATGGGATGAACAGCTTTGGGAAGACACCTATTATTTTGACCAAATTTTAGAATTAGCCAGAACAATAGCCAGAACCGATAAATGCAGCCTTTAGAAAGCAAAGCAAAGTGAGATCAATTCACTCCTTAGTCTTGTTTGTGCCTCACCAATAAGTACATTACTACAGCTGTGGTAAGATATCACTGAGAATGAGAAAAGAAGGCTGAAGATGGGCCTTTGTTAAAGAGGAATTTCTTTTCACTGTGTAGAGATAAATTAAATAAGTTAAATTTAAGTTACTCCTGCCATCAACACTTGCCTAAATCCTAGTTTACCAAATAAATAGTCCAAATGAGATATCGGTGGTATTAGCTGAAGAGTTAGGTAAATAAAGCTGGCAAAGCTGACAGCATGATATAATCCTATTCTTTTTCAAATACCATGTAAATGTTATTCTTGTCTTGTTCTTCTTACAGTTAGAGGCCAGAAACAACCCAAAGATTTCAAAATCTTATTCTCTCACTCAGAGATTGAAAAGATACTTGAACTTGTACATGGTAACCAAAAATAGGGTCATGTATATTAGGTCTTCTCAAGATCCAAAAATAAGCATCTTTGACTTTCTAGCATGGATTTAAGTCAGAGAAATTCTAACATACATATGTTGGAATAATGTCATTATTTCTTCTTCCAGTGAAGTTTATACAACTTATTTCTGCAATATAATACAGCATTTCAAGAATATATTTTCCTCTTTGATTTTTGCAGACAAAAAAAAAAAAAAGTTAAACATCTCTAGAATGAACTTATGGGAACTTCAAACTTCTAGTCTAATACATGTTTGAAAAATAATGTTACATATGGGGCTCATAGTTCCCCCTTATTCTACAAGATTTGCCTCAATTAAGTAGCAGAATCTTCTCTGAATAAGAATCAAAAGTACTGCCCTTAATTTAAAGGCACATAAATTACATACACTGAAATGGAACCAAACATTGGATCAACAAGAATTGTCATGTATGTTGATATTTTGTTGCTTAAGAAGCAGGATATCTTTTAATTCTACCTGGGGACTTCTATCGGAGAGAAGGCAGGAAAAGAAGAAAAGCAGAGAACGGGTAGGAAGTTTTGGGTTTTGCTGTAAGTTTTGAAACAGAGAATTTTAAGCAAAGCTGTCATTTAGTTTTTAAATCACAAGTTAGAGAATAATTATAAACTAGATAGAATTCTTTAATCAACGCCAAAATAATTTCTATGATTCTAATATAAGAAAATTTATGGGTTTCCCCAAGAAATCACTAAAGTTCTGAACTTAAAGTGTGTGGCATCAGTGTATAATTTAGATTGGAAGGGATCTCTGGAAGTCTCTAGTTTGTGTCCAGCTGGGTCTTGAAAACCTCCAATGACAGAGGCTAAACAACACCTCTGGGCTCCTGTTTCACTGCCTAGGGAAATTCTCACAGGGAAAAAATAATTCTCTTTGAACAGTTTGATCCTCTCTCTTTTCATTAAATGACTGCTGGCTCTCATCCTCCCACTATGCACATGGTCTGGCTCCTCGCTCTCACTAACCTTCCTGCAGACACTGAGGAGCTGCTGCTGGCCTCCCATGAAGCTGCCTCTGTTCCAGGTTGAGCATGCACCATTATCTCAGACTCTTCGCATGGGACATGTATTCCTCCAGCCGTAACAGTGGCCTCTGCTGAAGACTAGGTGACATAACCACAATACTCCCTCTTTCTTTCTAAAAAAAATAATGTGGGAAAAAAATAGATGTTTGTAGGAAGAATAAAAATGATTCATGATCCTCAACAATTGATCCCATGTTCATGATATTAATATGGTGCCATCACTTGTTAACAGTGGACAAGAAATTACATATATATGAACTGATATAGTTCATATGAACATATATAGAACTGATGCTAATACAAATGTTAAGTCATTGTGGTAGCTAATAAATGCACAGCTCTTAGATGATGTATCTCAGCAGGAAATTTCCGTGTCCCTGAAGCAAGTAAGGCTCTTATGAAGATAGTCTCTATGGCTTTCTGGCCTTGTTGACTTCTACTTTGCATAGTCCTAAACTAGTGCTCAAAGGATTAATGAAATTAACTATATTTATGCCCAAAGCATGTGCTTTCTCTGACAGCCAGTATTACAGTGACATTTATATTGTAATAAAAGCATAAAAGCAGAGTTTGAGTATTTTTTCCCACCCTCCAGACACTTCCAGAGATTCATTTGTTTGCAGTTTTGTAATCTGAACATATAAAATATATAATCTATATAGTACAGGAGTGTTTGTCCTCCAAATCTGACCAATAAGCAGTTAACTTCCTGTTGTCTCCAGCTAGCTTTGAGTGTAAGTGAAGAAAATATAATGACTGTTTATGTCTTTATTCAGGACTTCATGATGATAGTAGAAGCATATATCTCATACTGGAGAGAACTTAGCTAATGCTCCATTCTTGTACCGGACACTGTTGAAGTAAGGAGCCACTGTTTCCTTACCTAGACAAGACCTTTGGAACACAAACTATCAAAATTCAATGAACTACTAAATCAACACTATTTTTTGCAGAAAATATATAATCTGTAATACAAATCAACCTTTGGCACTCAGGCCACAGAGATTCCACTGACATTAACCTTAGCTAAGAGAGTCAACCAAATAAAGGCTGATCACCGACACAGAAGTTGCCATCCATCTGCTTCTCTTAGATGGACTGCATGAACCAAAAAAATGACTTATTCCTAATCTCACCTTGTTTGACTGCAGCCTCTGGCAGCACCTCAGGAATGCTGAGTGAGTCTCCTGTGCTGTGTAAGAACATGCTGCAACTATGAAGCATTACTGTTGCTGCAAGAGAAGCAGATACAACACAAACTGTCTAGTATCAGATTGCATTACCATTTTCCAAAAACAAGAATATGTGCAGAATGAGAGAAGTGGTCTGCTACAGATAGAAATTTCAGAAAGGTACACAACCCATGCAAAAACGACCTTTTATTATGAGTAAAGCATAATACATAATTTCACACTTTTCTACCTACCTCTAGAAAGATTTCGAAGACCTAAAACCTTTGAGATGCTTTGGAGGATATAAGAAATGTTATGATGAGTTATCTAACAAATACAAATTTTACTATCCTGTTGTACAAGATCATGGCACATATTGCAATAAAAATGCTTTCAGTGAGTGATTTTTCACATTCTCCACCACAAACTCAGCCAATAATCACAGATCACCAGCACTCTGCTAAGCCAGACAGATGCTTCCATGCTTAGGCAGATGAGGAACCTTCTTGCATCACATCTCATCACCTGGTTCAATAGGTAACACGAAGCCAGGGAAACAGTCATCTGATTTGTAACAACCATCTTTTCTACCATGCATATTTTATAATTATTTAAGTATAACCAAAATGTGGATATATTCATGCATGTATAAAGCACAAAGCAACACCAAAACAAGACAAGTTGGCATCCTATTGTTAGATGCTTGCCTGAAATTTTGGTTTCAGTCCACATTTTGCATTTTTAGCATGATCTGGGTGAGTTAGTATTTCCACTCATTTGATTGTTACCTTCAAAGGGGAAATAAAGATATTTCTTTCACATTCCACTTATTTTTAGACTTCCAACCCTCTGGAGAAAGTACCATCACTTTCTCCTTGTGAGATCTATGCAATATTCAGGAGTAAATTGAGTTCAGGTAGATGGTCATTTGGAAAGCAGCAAAGACCTTAGGTTCTAAACTGAGGCAGAATGCTACTGCATAGTGCTCGCAGAAACCAGCTGCCTGAGTTTCCATACTTAATTTTGGGCAAGGTCTTCAGTCAGCTCTGAGCAACACATCTCAGTCTCTACAGCACTCAACTTTAAATGCACATACGTGAGCAGCAGTCACAGTCTAATTGACGATCTAGGCAGTAACAAAACACAAGGTCATAGCACAAGTTATACCTGAAGCAAGACAAATGTGAAAACACAAGATACAAACAGTTTAGCAACAGCATAAATTATCTAGCACGATTAATTCTACATTTATAGCCTGTCAGCATTCCACTGGTCACTTAATAAGAAAAGACAATTCAGAAATGCTCTTGGCATTCACAAAGCCATTTGTAGTTCTGGACATAATTTTTTACAAGAACTATGAAATAAAATTACTCCACAATGATACTTCAGGGGAATATAATGAGCAAATAGGGTAGCAGGAGCAACAAGTTTTGATGAAATAAAACATTTAACAATCTTTTGATAGTCTGAGCACACATAAGGAAAATAGAACTTATCTAAGAAAGAAATTGGAGCTTTAGGCCAAACCCTCTGTGGGCATAAATCAGTTGCATGGTTTTATATAAGGTGAAGAGCTGGCCCTGAAAGGACTTCACCCTGCTGCTGTGTTATCAAAGAGCTTCTATTTGCCTCTTCTGCTCACCAGAGCTTGAAAGGAAGCATCCCATGAAGTACTTGCCAGAATCCACATGGTATATCTCATTGCATTTCCTCATCATATCCCCTCAGCTGATGACCTCTGGACCCTTCCTTTCAAATCCTCTGTGTCCTGATACCCCCACTGCACAAACATGGTTACCTATTTCCTACAGAAATAAACTTTGGCCAGTAACCATGGACATAGTTTATGCAGTCAGGAAAACACAAAAAACAACTGTCCATTGTGAAGAAAAAAAAAAAAAGAGAGAACGCTCCTGTTCCCATTCAGTGACCCCATCCTCACTGACACCAAAGCAGTAATTTTTCTTATCTGAGGAAACGTGACCACATGGGAGAAGATTACTAGTTGGAATATTGCCATCACATTGAGCAATGCGTTTCTTTTTCCTCTTCTGTAATCAGAGTACAGAAAGATAGATCTGACAGGATTTTATTGACACAGACTTTTTATAGATCCAGTTAAAAGGTCCCCAGACACTCATTCAGCTTCCTGTACATGTATTACAAAAGCAGTGCAAAATCATTGTTGGTGAAAATATAATTTGCTCTGAATAAGCAGGGCAAGATAGAAGGGATATCCAAAAGACCATAGACGATGGCGGTTTAATATGGCACATCACCTGCGTTAGTTTGCCATAACCAAAAGGAAATACCTTCTCTTATCATTAAGGGAATTCTAAGACATGGCCTCAATTCTCAGCCCAAATCTATCTGATCTTTGGCATATGTCTCCCTCACCTCATTTCCCTATCTTAGCAATAAAGACTGGTTCATTCACTTCATCTATCTTGTCAAATTAGACATGTACACTAACCCTTTCACCCTACATAATGTGGTTGGAGTAATGTATGAGAGCCCTAAGAACCTTATATCCAGCCACAAAAAGAAGATTCCTGCAGTGAAACTCATAAGCCACAGAGCTTAAGAAGGAAGGAACATACTACATCAAGTAAGCTTCAGAAATATATACACTAATTATATCTTTAATTTTATGTACTTTCAGAAACTTAACTGAAGATTTCAGCCAACTGCCACAGTAATAGCATCAATACCAGTTGAAGTCGGAAAATAATTCATTTTAGCCTTTTGGTTTCACATGTTTCTCCTCTTTTGAAGCTGAACTTTTTTATGCATTAGAAAGAAAACAAAACACCAATACATCTTGCTAAAATGGGAGCAAATTCCCAGCAGCTTTTGTGCTATGGAACAGTGGGAAACAAATATACACATACTCTTTTCCCATTGTAATGAAATTCTAACCATACTTGTTTTGAATAGGGCAACAGAAAAAACAGCTGAAGTTTGAAATGTGACACTCAGCACACACATTGTCCTTATTAAGAAGTACATGGTGTGCTGTATTTGAGGAAGACACGTTTTTAGCTTTTTTAAAAAAAGTACTAATTGGCAGGAAAAAAAAAAAAAAAAAAAACTTCTCATTTTAAAAGTCTAATAAAGCTGTCCTTTTTTGACACCACTACAGTTGCACCTGCCCAGTCTGAAGCTAATGTGTTGCTGACAATAATTCTGTGTGGAGAAATGTTCACATGCATAACGTTATATTTTCTGTTTCATAGAATGTGAGAAATCTGAGTAAAATCACCTAAAAGTAGTAATTGACCCATAACAGACCAAATACTGGCTCTGAAATTCTGACTTAACTCAGTCTAAATCTCTGATGAAGTCGGAACATCCATTCCTTCTGGAAAAGTGTGCCGTCACCTGTGTAATTCACTGTGCTCTGAACTGCCTTTGCACCCAGCTGGATGCCTTCCTTCTGCTTCCCCAGTCATGCAAGATTTGAAAATGATGTTTCTGGGTCCTGCCTGCTTTGTAAAGTTCAAGGCTCCTTTCCTACTATTCTGAGAGGAGAAAGTAATTGTGATCTTTACTCTAGGCTGTTGCTACCACCTTCAACTATCTACACAGTACAACTCTCCTGCAAAACAGACGACATCTTTCATAGCAGTCTTCTTTTCTATTCTTTTGATCTACTTATGGCCACATTTATGCTTTAATCTGTGTGACCACAGCCTTAGTGTATGCAGGATTTTAGCTGCGCTGATTCCTGACCACACAGCCAGCAGCAGGCCGTACTCCATGTAGAGGCAGACTCCATGAGATCTAATCAGTCCCAGTCAGAGAGGGGCCCACAGGAAACCTCTTTTCTGTTTCATCGAGGACTAGGATCAGAGCAGCACAGCTCTATATACCATTGATGCGATGTATATGCCATGTGGACCACCTTGGCCGTGAGCCATTATCAGACCAAACAACAAGTACAGAATATTATGTGCAAGACAACAAGCCAAAGCAATATCATACCTCAACCCATTTAGAGCTTGATCATGCATAGTCCAGGAACACGGTCATATAAATCTCTCAATTTATGCACACCTGCAGGAAGCAGGGTGGCATGGCAGATATCCAAAGACTGATAAAATTTTCAGACAAGAATAGGATAGAGGCCCAGAGCACAGAGGAGGCCACAGGTCCTGATATGCAGGACCGCTATATCTCTAGAGAGATCAAGGGCAGCTCAGAAACAAAGGCAGACAAGAGCATTCATTACAATCGAGATGACTCAGAGAAAACTCTCTGGGCAGAAACAGGAAAGGGGACGTGTTTACAGTGATGTGTTTATATCACTCTTATTTAATTCTGTGTTTAGTCATGGCAGTGACCTGCCCACTGGCAGCTCCTCAAGTCTAGCAACGCTCCATAAATAGTTGTGACCTACGTCCCGTACTGCACAGCCACTCGTAACACTGAGCAAACTGTGTGCACCACCTCAGTAGTGCATGGTCTTTCACACTCAGATCTTAGCTAGTTAAAATTATTTTCAGCCTAGCAGATTCAAAAGATTACTAGTACTCATGACATTACAACAAGCCAAAAAACAGGTTCTAAACCACAAAAACAGACACCTCATGCCCATTACCCTAGCTTTCTGATTCAAATAATGGTCTGTGACTGCCAACACAGGACACGTAAGTAATTTGCTGGCACTGAGGCAAGCTGTAGAAGATCAGTTATCAGGAGTTGCATGCTTTTCTCATCTGCAGAGGAGGCAGCCACCATTTTCCATCTCCACAGGATTTCAGCAGAAACAAGCTTCTGTAGCCTCATGAAGAAGATAGCTTCTCAGCGTTGCGCAGAAAAGCAATACAAAAGATGTCACGTATGGCATAGGAGTGCTACCTGAATATAACGGAAAAGCGCAGAGGTAAATACCCACTGTCTACCTCCTCTGCTTCTCCATGTCCTACTCTCAAGCCACTGACAACTAGCTAATAATAGCAACACTTCCAGCTACTTCTTGGTTACCTACAAAACTGTATCTAAGTGTTCAATGCTATCATTTGGCTCACAAGGTCCTAGTACCTCCTTTCAGCCTT